GAGGAGCGGCTGAGGGAACTGGGGTTGTTTAGCCTGGAGAAAAGGAGGCTGAGGGGAGACCTCATCGCTCTCTACAACCACCTGAAAGGAGGTTGTAGCGAGGGGGGGGTCGGTCTCTTCTCCCAAGTAACAAGCAATAGGACGAGAGGAAACGGCCTCTCAAGTTGCGCCAGGGGAGGTTTAGATTGGATATTAGGAAAAATTTCTTCACTGAAAGGCTTGTCAAGCACTGGAAGAGGCTGTCCAGGGAAGGGGTTGAGTCACCATCCCTGGGGGTATTTAGAAGACACGTAGATGTGGCACCTGGGGCCGTGGTGGACTGGGTAGTGTTAGGTTAACGGTTGGACTCGATGATCTTAAAGGTCTTTTCCAGCCTAAACAATTCTATGACTGTATGATTCTAACTGGTCATTACAATTTAGTTTCACCTGCAACTATTAACATAAACACATTAATCATTTTTACTATTACTGAGTGATCATCACAGGACAGAATTAAAGTTATTTGGTATCTTAATTATGGGTGTGAATATTATTTGTACTGCTTATTCTGATGCATCTTAATTCTGCTATAAATTTTAAGGGGAAGAATGATGATGAAAATGTCCATTTACATTAAGAATTAAAACAAGCCTCAAGATTTTACTAGGACCAGGACACATTGAAGCCCTGGCTGATGCAAAACACAGATGTGTAAGTTTTTTAATAGTTCACCTAACTGCCAACAATGTATAATTTCATTCCTTGGTGTGGCTTAGAAGGTTTGGGTCCGGAGATCTGGATGAGTGCTTCAGGGAAATGAAATCTTGTTTGAGGAGCTACCTGCATTAAACTTGCCTGGACTACAGTCGAAGAGAATCGCAGAATGACTGAGGTTGGCAGGGACCTCTGGAAATCCTCTAGTAAGCCTCCCTGCTCAAAGCAGGGGCAACCTGGAGCAGGTTGCTCAGGCCCATTCCATCCAGGTTTTGAGCATCTCCAAGGATGGACACTCCACAGTCTCTTTGGGCAACCTGTTCAATCACCCTTAGTGTAAAACAACAGATGACTATAAAGTACTAGTTCTCATTGGAGACACCTTATACCTAGCTGTTCTTAAAACGCTAAACTAAAGCATTATGGAAAGGTCACAACAATACTGGAACACTGGCACTGCAAAAAGCTATTTGAGTTTTTAGTCCAATTTTGCTGAGCTAATTGGATACCTCAGAGGAGAAAGAAAAAAAAAGTAAATTCTCAGCAGGGAAACACTACTCTCAGAAACTCTCATGAACACATCTCATAACAAAGCCAATTACTTATCTGCAAGACAGTAAATATAATGCATTTTTTCCAGAGCACAGTCCAACTATCACCCTCCTTTAAGCAACTAAGGCAATTAAAATTCAAGCAATTCATATTCAAAGCAACTAAGGCAATTCTCAAAGGCAAAATACATAATGCCTTCCACAGCTCTGGAAACAGACAATATGTTGCAATTACTCAATAATCTTACTGAACTTATGAGGATTCAAGGAAAGACAGAACACTGCACAGCTCAAGACGTAGAAAGAAATCCCACAGAATCTCTTAATCAGAAATAAGGTTTTCCTATTTTACTATGACACCTCCCTGCTGGAACCAATGGTTCAGAGCTTTAATTAAGTTGCCAAATTATATCTGCATTGAGATATATGGACTACAGAATGGGGATCTGTTGAGACAGGCATCTACCAATACCCATCTGGAATCTGCTACGTTCTATCATCTCACTATACACTCAATTGTAGAAATAGACACCGTAGTGTATGTACCTTTACATAATTAACTTCAATATAAATTTTACAAGTAAGATTTTACTTTAATCATATTTTAATTCAACAATTTATTTACATAACACTGCAGGACATATAGTGTACTATGTATTCATCCACACATGCTGCAATGAAGATATTACTGCACAGCTGCAAGAGTACAGTTTCCCAGACGGACACGGGAACAGTAGTACAGCCTTAAATGCATTATTCTTCCTAACCTACCTGAATCTTTGCGCCTGGTGATGCACTGGCCCTCCAAACCGTCTAGCTGGTGAATGACACAGCTGCGACAACAGTGCCACATTTTTGTTCTGGTTAGGATTGGCCGCAAACTTCACTGTAATGGGTTCGGAGGAACCTGGGGGTTTGTGACCATTGAAATTTGTAATTGCCTCTTCTGCTTCTGACCTTTTGTCAAACCGGATAAATGCGACCCCTCTGGACAAACCTTTTAACCAAACCAATAAAAAAAAAATAAAAAAAATTGAAGTTCAGGATAAACTCAAAATAACTTTGAAAGCAAAAAACGAAAAAGTTAAATATTTCTATGGTCACAGCTTTCAAGTTCTCTACATTTACTGATGTTTCTTCAGCAGCTAGAGGATAAAGTACAAAATTAAGAAACAAAAGACAAATTAACACATTCATTTCAGCTGTAACAACCACAGTGACTATAACACTTAAAAATCCAATGTGGTAGAATTCCATGAAATCCATCACCAACTGACATTTCCATTAACAGAAAAACCTCCCAATATTTTAAATTAATTCCACCAAAAAAAAATTAATTAATTCCAGTCAGTTAAAAACAAAACAAAACCCCTTAGCTTTGATTACTTTATCACTAAAAAGCATCTGCAAACACAAAATTGACACTGATTTTTCCAAATGTTTTCAGTTTTCCATGCTGAAAACACATTCTGGTTCGTAGATGAGGGCATGAAGGTCTAACCCTAATAAAGTAGTTTAACCTTCTGTAATCAAGAAATCACAATTTCATCTACATCACAGCCATTATTTCTAGCTGTCACATACTTTATTTTTAATTCATTAAAAACTGATTAAGAACTACCTCTTGGGAACTGTACTGAAACAATCACACTGCTGTTAAACATTTGCATCTTTTTTTTTCCTAGTACCAGACCCCAGCCACTGGGTGCTGTTATCCTTCTGACTGAGCTAAAAGTCATGCCTTAAGAGATCTCTGCTGCCTCCCCTGCTTCTCATCTGTGACTTGACCATAGTCTGGAAATACTGTTTGTCACAGCAAAGCTAAAAGGGTACATTTTGTTTAAATTTCATCCCAAAGCAGATGTTATGACTAGACTAATCCTAGGACTTTACCAAACCTGTTTCAGAAAGGGTCATATCAAATACTTTCACATTGCCTCTACTCTACACCCACATAGGGCAATCTTCAAAGACAGTTTCAGAAGCTGTTTAAGCTTACCATAAATCATAAAGTTTTGTTTATAACAATTGAACATTATTTCCTGTATTTCACAGAAGGAAATGCAGCATGACAAAACCCTGGGCATGCGGCAAGCAGACAAAAGGGAATCCAACCCCTGCAACTACCCATAGAACGGTCTCTAGGAAAGGTATATTTTCATTTAGGGCACTGGGAGAACTTCCATAAATGACTTGTTTTCTGCATGTTGTTAAGTATGCAAAGTCACACAGAGAAAGCCTATTTCCGAAGTCACTGCACTTTTTGAAGAAAAGAACTGCAGAACAACAGCAGGAGATGGCTAGCACCAACTGTGCAGCTGGTGTTTCTAGACTGATCTGGAAAGGAGTCAACCTGTGAAGAAGTTATTCCATTTTTTGATTTCTCACTGGTTACTTCCAAAACAGGAGGCCGGACCAAATCGGCTCATCAAATTGGAGCTGATGGCACTATATGCTCCAATACCACTGAGATTAGCCTTTCTGTGCCGGAAGGAAGCATATGCCCCACCCTGGAAAGGCACAGAACAGCAGCATCACCCAGAAGTCAGCAAGGACTATCCCAGAGTCCAACATACTGTTACTTCTTCTCCACTTCCATGCTGTTCATCTTAGCGCTTCTCACTTGATCTATCATAGTGTTCATTTAAAAATATAAAAATATGCTTTCTACAATATTTAAACAGATTAATTCTCAAAAGCTAGAGAACAACCTCTGCTGAGAAGGTACATCTAAAAGCACAAATTAAAATTTGCCCTAACTGGGACTAGATCAAGATATGAAATGCAGGTTTTAAAGCCAAGGCATGGCTACATTCTTGAAGTGAAGAGACTCCTAGGCTATTCATGCATTAAACTTTATAATGTAAACAGAATACATTCTTCAAACAATACATTATTAAGGTTATTTGAAAGCAAGCGGTATATTCTGAGCTGACACTGAATTAGACAGCATCATGCCTCAGCACACTCAATGAAAATTATATTATTCCTGGAGAGATTTTAATTGTATGACTTCCGTCATCTCATTTTATAGCTCTGTCAAACACAGCCGCTAGCTATCTAGACTCCACTGGCAGCCAGAGAAGGATGACTACTTTGGACACCTGTATTGATAAGTTTTCTGTGCTCTAGAAGTCTGTCTTGCTTCTACCTACAGTTGACACCTAGATAACTAGCTCTAGAGACAGAACCATACCGATATCAAAGTTGGACAAAATGAATCCTTCTCTCTAGGAAAGGACGGATAGGATTTTCCTTGCTCAACGTTGGAGTGTCTACAATGTCAGTATCCAGATCTCATCTAGGCACCCCAGATTTCTTTTACACACAATTGCGTTCTGACCAAATTGAAACACTTAAAAGCAGATGCCTACACAAAGAGCTAGCTCTGATGGAGATACTTAACATTGTAGACTTTAGTATTTAGTCAGATTAATCCCATCAAAAGCTGCTGATGGCCTACTCTAAATTACAGTAGATTCCTCACAGAGTATGAAAGTTGCTGCTTAACTACTGTGTATAAATGTACATACTACCATATATAAATGTTAAATGTGGAATTGCTAGAATTAAATTATCTTCTATTCTAATTAGCACATGCATAATCAATGAAAAAGTGTATTTGTAGAAGTTCTCTCCAAATTCATACATGACATATGGGCTACTGGAAAAAACACAGAACACCTAAGGTTAGAGGATAAGACGTACTCTTCAGTTATACAGTCTGAAATAATTAGGTAAGAAATTAAAACTCTGAAAACACACTGTAACACTGAGTCAGAATTAACATTATAGAGGAAATCCTTAACTTTGGTCTCTCCTGAGCTGAGTGCTTAACTAAGCAACTTCCCCCTTTTCTTTCTCGTTTTTTTAAATAAACAAAATACATTCATAAAAATCCAAGAGGGTAGTACTAAGTGTATTAAGTTCATTCTTTTGGTTAGCAGTAACCACAGAGGACTGTAAGACACCTCAAATGTTTTAAAATATGAGGAAATTGTGCAAGTGAATTCCAAGTTGGTATAAAAGACAAAATACATTATTGTTTTGCAGTGGATAACTATGGACTGGAATTGACCTGTGGGTAATAGTTGCATTTGTGTAAAGTAAAGGTAACATAAGCACTGCCGAATACAAACATTGCCCAGAAGCACATTGCGCTACAGTAGTATCAAGTGTCATAGCAAGAGAGATTTGGCAAATCAGCAGCTCAGCCTGGTAAAACTGACAATAAGAGCATAAAATATGATATGAGGTTTACACTGTAAGCTAGCAAAGGAGGCAGCATAAGTCATTCTGTGTTTTAAAAAAGTCACTGAAAAAGGATATCCTGTTAAAATTATTTCAGTGGTTGACACCAGATGTCACGGTTAGTTTATGAAAGTCTAATTTAGTTTAGGAACTACCAGTCTCTGAAAAACTTAAAACATGCTATACACTACAGTTTTATGAAGCTAGTGCAACAGAACTCACCTGTAGTTTGATCCACAAGCACACGCGAGTTGATGATGCGTCCAAAACGTGAAAACATATCTTCTACATCTTTTTGTGTCATTGACCTTGGTAGTCCACTAATATATAAATTAGCATCCTTGATAACTTCAGAACTTGGACGAGCATAGGAAACCTTTAAAAAGGAAAAAAAAAAGGTATGTTCAGGGTGTAAAAAGGAGAGAGTAACGTATTTTGTCATGAGTCACTTTCATTTATTCCCCACTAAATAACGCAGGCATTTTTTACCGGAGTTCAAAAAAGCTGAACAGGGAGAAGGTAAGGGGAAAATTGCCAAAACAAAGAGAGAAGAGTCATGTCCTGTATAACTCCATTCATCTTGGGCTTATCCAACAGATAAAGAATATATGGCATTGCTATAAAGAGACAGCAGTAGACTAATACCAATGCTTCCAACAAACATATTTGCTACATTGAAGAATCCCTGTCTGAAGTTCTGACTCGGATACTGGACCTGTCAGTAACCACAGATCACACCAAGAACTTGTGCTGTCAGTACATTTTTTTTAAAGCCTCATATAAAGATTTTACTAGGTGGAATGCAGTTTTCCCTCTTAATTTCTGCTACTAGAGAAAATTACAAACATCACCTAAGCAGGTGTGATTTCCTACACATACAATACTAGCTGTTATTTTGGAAGAGGAGTGCATGTGTATTAACGTGATTTAAAATAGAGGTCATCAAGTATCTGCGATATACACGAGTTCAAAGCCTGGCAACAATTTGGAATGATCCCACCTACTGCTGTAAAAATGTTGGGAATGAGAAGAAAAAAAAAAAGGGAATCTTTGAATACAAAGCTGTTACAAAACCTGAGAGGCTTAACAGCTCAGTTTACTACTCTTCTCCTAGATTCTACCTTTCTTGCAGTTGGAAAGCACACAAGCCTTACCACCAGAATGAAGTTTATTAGAATGCCATTTCCATAGAAGACGGAAAAAATCTAGACACCCTACCTTGATAGTTTTTGACTGAAGTCTGAGGCCATTCAGTGTGTTTATTGCTCTTTCAGCATCTTTTGCAGTAACGTAGTTCACAAAGCCATAGCCTAAGCTGTGTCCTACATGGAAGAACATTTTTTTAATTAATCCTAACAAAAGAAAGTTATCACTATCAAAATTAAAGGAAATGCAAATGAGAAAAAGTGAACTCAACATAAACATAATCCACACAGCAAATATTTAAATAAGCCAAAGAAGTTTCTCAAGGCTAGCATACATCATACGAAGTAACTCAAAGCTCTTTCATTTGCCACTTTGGACATCCCTCGGTCTTCAAAGACAGTGTGTATCAGACAGCCGCAGATGATCCATCAACAGTAAGAAATTCAAGACTAATATACCGACTCTGAACAGTCTTGTAAACTTAATGGGTATGGAACAAAGGCAAGAATTTAACAAAGTTCTTAAGTACAAAATCTTGTAGATAAAGAGCAGAAAGTGAGAAAGTGTCAGTGGACGAACTGCTGGGTAAGAAATCATCAGGCTACTCATTTCTGTGTAGCTATTCCAACCTTCAATCCTGGAAGCAAGAGGGAAAAAGAAGTTTTCAATCCTTCATACTTTCATATGAGCAGTAAGTCTCCCAAACACAGGATGAAACTGAAGAGTGAAAAATTCTTTTTAGTGCAGACCATTTAAGTACTATTACTTTATGTAAGTTCACTCTTAACTCTTACAAAAAGAATTTGAGAATAGTAATACAGATCTTTAAAACATGTAAGGCAAAGGATATTTATTTGGATATTTATTTGCTCTGCTTCTATCTCCAACCTCCACAAATGCTACTATCAATTATAACACTACATACTAAGATCATTTTGGGTTGCAATTTCCCAACAATTAGAGGCTCTTATCACTGTAGACCTAAAAATAACTAAAATACTTTCAAAAATGTCTCAGTGCAATAAAGCAATTCCCATTCAATAAAAGATACACCTTTTTCAGACAACTCCTCCTCGTCTCAGCCAGATCTATGGGATTTTATAAAGAAAATTGTAAGCATGCATAGGAGAATGTGCTATTTTGCTTTAACAATATACTGTTTTTAAGTTATTACCAAGCTCCGTTGTTAGGCTTGAGAACACAAGACGACACAGCTAATCGTTACAGTAGAGGATTCTCTTCTGAAATATAGCCCCTTTTTAATCACACAGCATGGCTCTGCAATAGTCTTAGCTGGCAAGGAAGTTTTTCTTATGCTTTCCAGACATTTCAGAACACCAAATATACACACACCACCCCCCACCCCCCCCCCCCCCAAAAAAAAGTCAAATAGTGATTATCCTAGCACAAGAGGATAATCACCACTTCACTGTCAGAGAAAGTGAAGAAAAGGGCTGTAACAGACACTGCAGATTAACTCCGTCTACTGAAAAAAGAATCACCAGTCTACTGAAGGAATTGAGACCTATGAGTAAAAGCCACAAGGGATGGAAGGAAGCTCCAAATAACCCTCACAGTGTTATTACTAACAGCATACATGACAGATTGACTGCAGAACAACTGCAACAGCACAACTCCCTGGCACGTCCTCTGCATTTGTCTGCTTTGTTGTGAACTGTAATAGACCAGTAACTCATCTAAATCCAAATAATGTCACTGCCTGTTTCCTAATACACTCCTTGTATAAACAGTCCCAGTTAATTTTTACTGTCTGCTAAAGCTCTTAAAGAAGCCATATCTCCATTATGTTCAACCTTCATACAGGAACAACATCCTGTTCTCTTACAGACCTAGTGTTAAAACATCTCCACTGGCACAGATCAAACTCTCATGACGCCAAATGCTTCTGCACAACTACAATGGCAAATCACTTCGATAGCCAAGTAGGGATTTAACTCTGCATAGGAAACAAATAAATGCAAAAAAAGCAAGATCTTAGACACCAGCTTCTGCACCTTTATCCTTTAAAGATCTACAGATAACACTGATCAGGATTTTGCAGACATATCTTACATGTACCTACAGCATGTTTTTTGTTGATTTCTTTATAACATTCATTTTCTGTTTTATTAGTCAGAGATGGTCAATCATTTAGATCAAATCTGGTTAGTCCACAATCACTTACCTACTGAGATTCTTTTCCCAATTAAGAAAATGAATAATTTAACAATTAGAAAAATGTTTAGCACCTAGACCCTGGTTTATTTCTCCAGAATCTGACCAAGAAAACAAAGATAAGTTTAAGAGGGAACAACTATCACACAGACAGTAGGCAATGACTTTTTCCCTCCTAAGTGGGTGGGAGGAGTCTGACACCCCGTCACCGGTACAGCATGTCAGCACCTGATCTGAAGGCTCAGAGTACCAGCTGCTTTACAGATATTTTCAGTCTGTCCCGAAAGCCACGTAAATGTGAATATTCCAGCAAACTACTGAATAGAACCAGGTCCTAATAAAGTTTATGGAAATAGGCCCTTAAAGACCAGGGAAACAGACTTAAACAACACTAATCCCTCTGAGTCTGAACCACTGAGCCCTGGCAGTCAGGGCTGTCACTCCCCAGGTAGACACTGCACTGGGGAGGGGGTGACTATATTCTCCTGGCAGGGGAAGAGCAGGATTCCACACTGTATAAACTTATTAAGCTATCTTTAGTACTCTGAGTCATGGCGATCAGGGGCTCAGCCTATGACCAGTGCGAGTGAGTATCCCTTCCTATTTTCTTGCAACAAGTTCCCAGAGACCACAGTAGGCGGGCAACCGTTACTTACCCAGCAGCTTTCTTGCAAAGCATCAGACAGGTTATATGTTTATGCACTGTTTGAGATGAGTGACAAGGAAGATTAAGCTACTTAGTTTTGGTTTTATCCTGTATGAAAGTAACAGCACTCATGCACACACAGGACCAAAAGGGCCCAACATGATCTGGGTCCAGTCCCTGTAATCAAACTGTACATACTCCCTTTCCCTAAAATGTAAGCAAGCTTCACATTAAAAGCAGTTAGATTTTTGTCCCAGGCACTCCATTGAAAGCAAGTTCCAGAAACCCCCTCCAATGCTCTCCTTTGCTAAATGCAGGTCTTCATACTTCGTATCCACTTGTTCTTGTGCCAATACTATCCTTGAGCTTACAAGCACTTATCCTTCCAAGTGTCTGTTCCCCAAAGTACACGCAAGCAGTGACCATATCCCCTTGGCCTTCTTTACTGTTTTCGTCTGAACAAAATTCTGCACCTTCTCCACTTCTAATTTTATAAGGTTGCTCAATGACTATTCCTTATCAAAGAGTTTGAAAGCCCTGAGAAAAAGAGAGCAGGGACATAATGAGGTTGACAGAAACAAACACAGATTAAAAAGAAAAGGGTCTGAAAAGCGGCAGGATTATAACAATTATCAGATTTTCTCATATTCACTGTAGGCATTTGACAATAAGTCATACTAAAACCCAGAAATTATAGTCCTGTTAACTTTTACCTACCACTAGATAAGAAAATACCAATTACCTATCTTTCTCTACAAAAAACTAGAATACAGACCTTCCCTCCTAGACTATACTTACCACCTTTAAATTACATCAGTGTGACATGACTTTACAGTCCTTAAGTAAAGGAAAAAAAGCCAACCCATGCAAAATTGGCAACATATATTAACTTATCTTGCTCTAAATACTGAATACCATCAGTCTCAGCCATCTTCTGCCATTCAGTTATTCGTTTTCATCTCTAAACAGGCTAGGAAATCTAACACACGACAGTCCCATCACCACAAGAGGCAAGTTCCACCATTCCCCTGACAGATCACTCTTCAGGAATGCTCTCTGCTTCACAATTTTACTCCGTATTCCCTCCTCCTAAACAGTACAAACTACCTTCCTTTTAGGGCATGCCACAAAATATATAAGGAATCGTCATTTACACAGCATTATGATTTATGTCAAGTGCTTATCCCAGGCAAGGAGACAAGTTATTTACTTTATCATGATATTGAGAGCCTGCTAGAAACCTATCGTGCAAAAGAAGGCAGTACTGTAACAGTTTTCAAACTATTTTAGCAGATGGTGTTTTAAAAACCTTTAAAAAAGAAACTTAAAAGTTTGTATATACATAAATGGAAATCTACTCAAGAGACAAAGATAAAAAAAGAAACAAGTAGGTCCTTCTCTGGATGAATAATTAACAAAGTGACCATAAAACCTAGTTTAAAGCAAACTACTATACTCCTTCAGCAGAAAGAATCTAGTTTTGTTTCCATGATAAAAAGCCCTTTCATGAAAGAGGGCACTCATTTTCTTTCTGTGCATCACTTGGTTTTCTGTCCATGTCCTTGCTTCCTTTCCCAGCTCCCTGAGATGCACTGCTTCAGTTACTAGCTCATTTCTTATTCCCCTCCCACCACTGACTGACAACTCTAGTTTCACTGGGGAGTCTGAGACCAGAGCTAGTACTTATTTTCCACTTCACTACAGACTACTTGCCTCCCCCTACCCCCCCAAAAGCAGCTAACAGATTCTCCCCATCCTATCCTCCTCAGGAAAACCTAAATTTAAACCTGGCTCCTGTTATGTCAGAGCACCTCAGTATGAAGGCATTTTAGTTTAGAATTTGTTTTCTGAACTGGGAAACAAGTGTTTTGAGATTAAATTTAAAAAGCCCAAGTAAATAACACAGAAGGACGGCACAGATCTCCCCAAATGTCACTCAGGGGAAGATGTGGTGTCTTGGAAAGAGTTGGGTTTGGGTTTTTTGTTTGTTTGGCTTTACAAAATGTGCTGTGAGTGATATCACCAGATAGCTTGAGTATGTATGAATGCATCAAGAAATACCACGTCCAAATACCAGGCATCAATGTGCTGAAAAAGCAGAATTCAAAGCGGTGACTCTGTCGTTTCAGAGGATGAGAACAGATTAAAAGTGCTCAGATGTGCCTTGTGTGGGCTTTCTTTAGTACAGTTACACTATTGTATAGCTGGGGATACATAACCACATCAACCCTGAGAAAAATGCACACACCCTTGCATCAAACTTCCAAAAAAAGGGTTATGCCAATGCAGAAGTGCAGCAAGGTAAGACTGGAAGAGCAAGTGATCAAGAGGCTATATTCTAACCCCCTGAGACAA